ATTTGCTCATAGAAAATCCCACCTTGGAGTTTACAAAGACTTATGGGTAGAAAAGGAGCTCTGGTAGCATAGTGGCTAAAGCACTTGACTGCTAACCAGAAGGCTGGCGGTTCAAACCCACCAGCCACTCCTCGGAAGGAAGGTTGGGCAATCCTACTTCCGTAGTGATACTGCCTTGGAAACCCAAGGAGGGGTTGCTATGAGTCAGGGCTGACTCGATGGCACATAACAACAACAACAATAACAACAATGGGTAGAAAAGCCACACTAAGTAATTTACTACACCACAGTATCATAGAATAAACTAGCCATCCTCACAGTCGTTCATGTGCTTGAACTCACCGTGGCAGCCACTGGGTCAATCCATCTCATGGAGGGTCTCCCTCTTTTTCTCTGACCCTCTACTTTACTGAAGGTGATGCCCTTCTTCAGGTACTGGTCCCTCCTAATAACACGTCCAAAGTGCTAGACAAAGTCTGGCCATTCTTCACTTCCCAAGGAGCATTCGGCTATATTTGTTCCAAGACAAATTGGTTTGTTCTTCCAGCAGCAGTCCATGGTATATTCACTATTCTTCAACACATTTGAGGTTAGTACGTTTGTTTGTTTAACAACTTTATTGAGGGATGAGTAGAAAAGGATCTTTTATTTCTAAACAAAATCCACCAACTTTCAGCTGAGGCAGGGGAGGATGAAGATGTTCAAAGATAATTAAGCTATTGAAAAAAGCTAGGTTTTTAAATATTTTCAAACAAGAAGTTGAATCCGTGAAACTTATATTCTAGACAGTTTTTAAGAGTTCTTTCCACTTGTTTCTCTAAACACCTGTTCTATTAACATTTCACCAAACTGGTTGATCTACCAAAATATAATTTCAAGACCCTTCCTTATTAGGCAGTCCTAGTATATCCACATCCCACTGCCAGTTACAAACACCCCTTCTGATAAACGTGAAGATGTTGCTAGTCTTTTTGCGCCTACCCTCCTGAGAATACTTGTTTCTTAATAAGAGACTGTTCCTTCTAAGTAACATCCTTGGTGCAGAAGTGACTGCCCCTCTTCCCAGGGTTTGAGGCCTCTGATCTTCCATCTGTTGTGATCCATAAAGTTTTCATTGGCTAAATCTTTCTTCTCATAGTCCTATCAAAGGACTCGAGCACGCTGATAATTCTGAGGATAATACATGACAAGGCTACATTTTTTTTCTGTTTTACACAAGGTCGCCATGAGTCAGAGTCAGCTCAATGGCAGCTAACAACAATAATTGTCCTTCTGACAGCGTTGCAGACTTTCCTCTCTGTGGCTGACTGAAGTTTTCAAAGATGAATACCAAAATCTTTCTCCAACCACGCTCTTCTAGAAACTTAACGCTCCTCCCACTTGAAAGGTGGAGTCTAAGTCTCTTGCCTTTGAATCTGGATAGAGTTGTGACTTGCTTGTAATAATGTCAATACAGTGTAAGTGATGCTGTGTGACTTCTGATGTTAACGTCATAAAAAGCAATGATGAAGCTTCCTCCTTGTTCACTAGAATGCTCACACTTGGAGCCCTGAGCTGCCAAGTAAACATTCTAATTATATTAAGGCCACCATGCTGTGAGGAAGCCCAAATTTATCAAGGCAGAAAGATCACATGGAGGAGCTCTCAGAAGTGCCTGGCCAATCACCAACTGCAAACTAAATACTGTTATTATTGAAGCTTATAGATGGAGAGGGAGCTCTGGTGGCATAGTGCTAAGGCATTTGACTGCTAACCAGAAGGCTGGCAGTTCAAACCACTAGCCACTCCTTGGAAGGAAGGTTGGGCAATCTACTTCTATAGTGATACTGCCTCGGAAACCCAAGGAGGGGTCTCTACGAGACGGAGCCGACTTGATGGCAGTGAGTTTGGTTTGGGTTTTTATAGATGGAGAAATGGAAAGCTTAGAGAGGTTAAATAACTTCCCCAGGATCTACAGCAAATAAATGAATTTGTTTAAGAGCAGACCTATAGCTTTAATCATGTAAGAGATACAAGCTAAACAACATTAATACAAATTGTAGTATCTCAGAAAACTGTAGTATGTGTGGTTTTAAAGCCTTCTGATGAAACCCTGCCATCTTTGTTGTAGACATATGACCTAATTTTCCCAGAGTATCCCTGGTTTATTCCTCATGACCCAGGATAATTATTAGTGCACTCTCTTTCACTCTCAAAAGTTCCCCAGTATTGACAATTAGTTATAATAATTATATGGTTGCTTTATGCCTTTGCTTCTTAGGTTGGAGGATGTGCAACACTCTAGCACCACTCAAAATAAAAGGAAATGTCAAAGTAATTTGCAAGAAGTATTAATATTATAACTTTCAGGCTGTCTCTGATTTGTGACAGAGAAAATGTACCAGAAATTCATTTGAAGGTAAACATGAAACATCTAGGCCTTGAAATTTTTGATCATTTAAAAAGGCAAAAGGACTAGCTTCCCATCAGGCAAAAATTATTCCATTTAATCTCAACAAGAGCTAAATAAACTACTAAAATCATAAATGTTTTAGAAAAATACTTAGATACTAGTCTGCTTTCCACAGGATCAACTTAGAGAGACTCATGGACTATGTATTTACTAACTATGAGACTGAAAATTACTATGGCTGTTGTTCAACCCATAGGCAGGTGCCAGGATGAATGAATGAATCCACATTAAAGAATTTCCCAGTTATATCACTTGAGAAATCAAATTAATACTTAAATTTTATTTAGAGTAAAAATTTTAATGCCTTATCTAGGTACATCTCTAAGCTATTATTACCATGCAAGTATATAAAAATAACACTTTATTTTGATAACAGGGAGCTAGATTTCCTACTTACTGGAATTTTCCTCATCTTTACTTTCTTTCTTTTGTATTTTTTTCCTGGACCATTCAGATTTCCCTAGTTGGTCTAAAAATATTATTTATCATAGTTGTCTTTTGCTTTGTGGATTTAAACAAAGATTTAGTCAAAGATCATAAATTGCATTATTATGTTTCTTTAGTCTCCTTTATAAACCCTGTGATCTCCCTGCCAATTTTCTTATTCTTTTTTTGTATTTCATGTTTAAAAAGCCCAGGCTGGCTGTCTGGTAGACTGTCCTACAATCTGGATTTATCTGGCTGTTTCTTTATGATTAGATTCGGATTAAATATCATTAACAAGAATATACTACTTCTCTTCAGAAGGTACATGATGTTGGTTTGTCCCATTATTGGTTATGCTAAGTTTAATCACTTGATTAAGTTGATGTTTACCAACTTAAAAGGAACCCAACCATTTGATAATTAGTGTAGAGTCTGAGTAGTAATTCTTGGAAACCATGTGGAATATCACATTCCCCAATCATTTACCCAATGATTTTAACATTTCTTGATTCCTTATATGAGTCGGTTATGATGTTGTTGGATGCAGTATGGTACTAAGTGAATTTTTGAAGTTACTTACCTGAAGAAAAATCTTCCTTTTCATCCCTATCTTGGGAAAAATCTAGACCTCAGGGACAGATGACAGATGGTAACCTGGTCGATGAAAGTAAAACTCAAAAACAACTCCCCAAATGTACATTAACCATTAGAATCTCCAAGATGTTTTCTCTTTCTTTGCCAGAGGGTATATAGGAAATTTCTACACTAAAACAAGAGTTGTTTATAATAGAGATTTGCATTGAAAAAAAAAAAAAAACAACTTTATTGATGCAGACTGAAGAAAAACAAAATATATTGCCTTTCTGATTTCCTTTTAGACTGAGAGAATTCAGTAATAATGAGATAAAATTTTTATTTAACAACAACCTGAAAAGATATTTGATGTTTGCCTTACCATTTGAAAATGCCTTGAAAAGCATATGATATTGGAATTAAATGGATGTCAAAACCACAGAATTTCTTTGAAAGGTGGGATAATATATTGTTTAGCAGGGAGACCTCTTGATCTAGGCTAATAATCCTTTTGGGAATTTATCCTAAGGCTTTTGTACTCACCCTGCTTCACAACTGGCTCACTCAGTGAGTGTTATCAGAGAAGGATCTTATTTCACTTCTGAAAGCAGAGGGTTGTTCTATTTGTTGGAGTATTAGGGGGTAGCAGGAAAAGATTAACTCCAGGCAGTGCAATATAAAACCCACCTATCCATCTTGAAATTAGAGATTGCCTTGCATGCCATGTGAGTTCCCCCACTTGTAGTTCATAATGAAAATACTTACATTTTTGAGGTATTAACTATCCCTCCTACCTAAACAAAATTGTCCTTTAGTATTGGGGTAGGGACCTTAGCAAGCTCTCTCTGTTGTTGTTGTTGTTATGTGCCGTCGAGTCGGCCCCGACTCATAGCGACCCCTCCTTGGGTTTCCGAGGCAGTATCATTACGGAAGTAGGAATGCCCAACCTTCCTTCCGAGGAGTGGCTGGTGGGTTTGAACCGCCAGCCTTCTGGTTAGCAGTCAAGTGCCTTAGGCACTATGCTACCAGAGCTCCTTAGGACTATCAAAACTATAGTCCAAACTAACTCTCAATACACTACCAATTGAAATTAACTTCCTAAGTATCTCATTACCAGATGAGCTTCAGAAGTTTACTTGCTTCCACAAGTTCAACCAAAACCATATTGCTACATCAGGAGTGTAATGGGTTATACTGCTGCCTTCTGAAACTGAGTTCATGGTAAAGAGGTTAAAATACATAAAATGGGGGTGAAATACACTAAAAAGATTAAGAAGAACTCTGCTATTTAAAATTCCACAAGAATACATTTCTGTCCTTTAGGTTAAAATACATAAAATGGGGGTGAAATACACTAAAAAGATTAAGAAGAACTCTGCTATTTAAAATTCCACAAGAATACATTTCTGTCCTTTAGACATTATATGTACTTTCAGCCTCAGTTAAGATGGTGAATGGGAAAAGGAAGACATGGATAACAAGAATGTTAGTTTCATTTATTGAAAAAAATAAACCTTTGATGATTGTAAAACAGGGGCTATCAAAAAGTTTAAAAATCTGGTGACATAGTGTGTCCTAATTCAAGGGATTCTTGAGGTTGGATTCTTTTGCTTCTGTGAGAAAGCCTGTTCTTTGATTCCACCCGGTGGGGGCTCTTGTTGGCCTTCTCGGGGTACTCTCTCCCCAGTAGTGAGGAGAACACTTGCTGCCTCATCCAGCGGAAGACCCACCCAAAATTTAGACAGGATAGGGTTTGTATGTTGGAAGCATTGTCCTCCTCTGGCTGACCTGGTGAGATTGAGGAGTTTTCTGTAGTGCTTGTCCTTTGGCTACCAGTTGTCTGGTTTATCTACCAAGGAAATGAATGATGAGTTAGATATTCATAACCTGGACAACAAGGGTGTCAATTTTTACCCATTTCTGGAACTCAAATCCTTTTACCAAAAGTGGCCAACTGTAAGTGCAAAGTTTAAATATTTGTTAATGCTTAAAAACATAAATCTTATTTTTTGAGGCATCATGACTGGGGCCTCTTTGGTCATAATTATTAATCTGTTTCATTGCTTTCCTCCCCCCTTTTCTTGCTTAGTGCTCCTTGTTATTTTCCATTCACCTCCACCCTGACTTCTTTCCTTGCTGTTATTCTTCCATCACTCCTAGCCATGTCAGAGACTCAGGGGGCTTGACCCCAATTCAGAAAACCAAAACCTACTGCCATTAAGTTGAGTCTAACTTACAATGACCCAATATGACAGAGGGTTTCCAAGGCAGAAAATCTTTATGGATGCAGACTACCTCATCTTTCTCCCACAGAATGTCTGGTGGTCCAAACCACTGACCTGAATGCTTTAACCACTGCACCACCAGAGGCCCGTACACTGCTTCATAGCAGATCATAGTGGTCCATGGGTTCCAACCTTGCCCACTGCCAGGCCCATCCCTGCGCTCTCTCAAGGTATCTCTTAGTGCTCACCTCAGTATGTTCCTGTTCCTGAAGCATTAGAGGAATCTGTGGAAACTTGGTGGCATCTTTATTTTCTGGTAGTTTGACGTTGGGGAAGTCTTGCCGAGTACTGTGTCTCTGATGACTGACCTGAGCCATATCTGGAGGAGAGCTGCGGGATAGCTGGAAATCTTCCTCCGGAATAGAGTCATGGAAAATAGAGTTACTGTCTCCGTCATTTTTCTGATTTTCTAGGAAGTTCTCAAGCTTGTGCACAAGACCGTCTAGTTTGCTGAGAGTCAGTTCTGTCCTCTTTTCTAGATACTTGTCCACCCACTGGTTGTGTCTATTTAGATCCCAGTTAGTTGTCAAGTCAGAATTGTTAGAGCCCACATCAACATCCCAGGCCAGGGTGATGCGTAGTTTGCAAAATTGCTCTGTGTCCTCCTGAATTTGGTCTCTTCTCCCCATGGGTCTCAATGTACTTTCAGTCCTCCACATCCCTTGGATAGGAGGGAGGAAATGAATTGAAGGACTCTCAAAGGGCATGTCTTCATAAGGAGTTGTGTCCTCATAGAAGAAGTTGTCCTCACAGGGAAAATAGCCTACCGAGAGGCTCAGATTGGATTTGGACCTGCAGTCTTCTGTGTCATTACTGTCGCTGTTGGAGGATGAGTATGCCATGGAATTCAAGGGCTCAAATCTTGTAGCCTAGTTCTCCCTGAGGAAGCATCAAAAGGAAAAGAAAAAGAAAAAAAAAAGTTGAGGTGGAGGAGAAAAAAAGTGGAGTCAAGCTATTCAAATAGTAACATCTTTTTGTTTTTATATTTAGGTAGACCTTCATCCTATTTTTGCAATTTTCAATGAAGGCCAGAAGTGTAGCCATCTTCCTTTATAGACATGTTTCATTGTGTAGCTTTTTATTAATCTTCTCCACTAAACATTACCACCAGATAGATGCCTCTCATTCTCTGTCTTCCTACAGTTGAAAGAACCTTTGTAATTTCTTCTGTCATAAAAGAAATGACCATTGTATGAAAATTTTAAAAATATAGGAAAGTATGAAGATGAAAATAAATATGCTAGGATCCCACCATCCTAAGGTAATGATAACTACTATTAAAACATTTTGGTGGATTTCCTTATATTCTCTTCTTTTTCTTTACTTATATATACATAATATGTACATATACATATAGGGATGTATATGTTACATTGTTGAACTTGAGATTATTTTGTGGCAAAGCATACAGTAAACCTAAGTATGGCTATTCTGTAATTTCTAACCACTTATTAATGACCATTCGGTTGTTTGAATAAATAACTCTGCAGTAAATCTCCTTGTCCATAAATCTATGTCTCTCATTATATTCCTGTAAGTGGGATTAAAAGATCAAAGATCACAAACCTATTAAAGGCTCCTGATAATTACTTTCAGAAAGGTTATACCTATGGTGGTCCCTGTCCTCCCACCAGCTGATGTTATTTTTTAAGTCTAGCTTTTTCTCTGATGCCTTAGCAAGTGGGAGTGGAAGAGCAAGCATACACGCACATGTATGCACACACACTCACAGACATCTCAGACTCTGTCATGCCCTGCTTGGGGAGCTGTCCACATGAAAGAGGTGGTGCCAGCTCTGGGGCAGATCCCAAATCTCAGTGGCTACAAGTCCAACGGTCAGAAGTCTGTGTTCTGGGACGGTTGGTTACCATGGCAACATAAGAACCCAAGTTATAGCCAGAAATGGGGACTTAGAAAAAAGGAGTAGAAAGCCACAAGATCCCCTTTCTTTTATAATATTCTGTACTCTTAGCTTTCAGGACCAAAAAGGATCCCTCATGGAGGCAGAAGGACAAATGCACTGGTGGTTACTTCATGTCATGTGGGTGTCTAAGATGGTTCTGTCCTTAGAAAGTTTTAGGACATAAACAGCTTATTACAGGACAGGGTGGTAAGTACACCACCAGCCACTTACAAAGTAATGTTATAGGAGTACAAAAGGTGGGCACCTGATGTAGCCAGGCTTGGAGATGTGATGGAGATCTCTAGAAAGGCCTCCTGGAGGGGAATCCTTCTGAGTATTTATGGAGGAGTAGAAGTTAGCCAGGTGAAGACCGGAGTGGAGCAGAGGGGGTCTTTTAGCCAGAGGGGACAGCACGAGCAAGGACATGCAGGTGAAGAAGCAGCCTGATGTGTGTGGAGATCAAGGGTGGGCAGGTAGTGGCTCAAGATGAGGTAAACCAGCTCAGTGAGATCATGGAAGACCTTCTATTGCTGTTGAGGAACTTGAATTTTATCCTATAAACCAATTTAACAATTTGGGACACCCCTGTATTTGGATACTGGTATTCATTTTTCAGACATTCTTCCAGGCAGTTCAAAATATACTGAAATACCATTATTACTGACTTCACACCTAAAAAATTGAAAAGTCACAGCATATTATTTTTAAAACCTTAGAAGAACTTATTATGGGTGATCTTGCTAGGGGGAAAAAAAAGAAAAAGTATATGTATGAGCTGTTCCATACTATTTAGGTCAAATAACTGTGATCTAAGAGAAGTTTGTCAAACCAAGTCCCAAGTAAGACATTTACACAACTGGTATTATGCCCTGGTATGTTATTAGATGTGAAAAGTTATCTTTCAGAATCAACCACACTCTTCAGCTTGGCATGTAAGAATGATGTGTGTTGATGTTACTTCTATAATACTTTAGGGTATAAAATATCAGAATGAATCAATATATATCAAAGAAGAAAAAGTTAAAAGAATACATAAAAGTACAAAAGATGATATAAGAACCTGTATACTTACAACTCAATGTGATCAAATCTTAACATTTTGCAGTATTTGATTGATGATTTTTTAAAAGAAATAAACTATTACTGATAAAACCCATCCCCTCTTGTATTTCTTCCCCTGATCCCCTCCTTCTTTCCCCTACTTCCCCCATGATCACTATCCTGAATTCAATGTTTATCACGTGCATTTTTTTTAATACTGTTTTGCATATTATCATATTGTTTTACCCTTGGAGACAAAAACCAATGTAAATGGAATCGTATAATTCTGCAAGTGATGTTCTTTAGAAGAGAAGAAAACCCCTCTTACTATAGTTGGTTTGTTTCATAAATATTATTCTGACAAAGAAATCCTCTTTCCAAACCAAACTCATAGCTGAAATATTTAAAGTGTTTATTTGAGGGGTGGGGTGGGGTGAGGGTGGGTACAATTTCTTATGCTCTGTTTATATGCTCATTCCCATACAGGCAAAACCTTATCTAAACTTGTATATGTACTTAAAGGGTATGTGTGTGTGAGAAAACAGAGTGTTTTGGTGTAAGCAAAGTTAAGTGTATACAACCTCTAGCAGATACTAAGTATTCTGTTAAGGTGCTTTCACTTCATTATCATTAAATTTTACAGCTCTCTGAGTTATTTATTTTCATCCTAATTTAACCTGTGCAGTTCAGAGAACACAGATCAGCCCCTTGGATCTAGAAGTTCTTTCCCCCATCTTGAGAACTGACTTCACCTCATTTGTTTATCCATCATGGGTTAATATGGTTAGTCTATCGTGGTGGTAAGGAGCTCTGGTGGTGTAGTGCCTACGGCATTTGACTGCTAACCAGAAGGTTGGCAGTTGAAACCTACCAGCCACTCTGCAGAAGGAAGACTGGGCAATCTACTTCTGTATAGATTTACCGCCTTGGAAACCCAAAGGGAGTCACTATGAGTCGGAATTGACTCGATGGCAGTGAGTTTGGTTGCTATCGTCGTCATCATCATCATCATCATCCTCCTCCTCCTGGTGGTAGAGGAGGGCTAAGGGTCACCCCTCCCACAACCTCGCCACCCAGTGTTGCCATGAAAGTAACTCAAAGACCAAATTCTGCCACACATACAAGCATTTAATAGCAAGCAGGCACAAAAACATCACACAGCTTTGCTCTGTAAGCTCCAGAACTATGCTGCTATCCAGTAGAGTCCCATTAGCCACATGTGGCTATTAAAAATAAATTTTTTTAAAAAAGGTGTTTCCTCAGTACACTGGCTACTTTTCAGGACTCAGTGACCATATGTAATCCGTGGCTACATCCATTGAACAGGGCAGACATAAAACATCCCATTATTACAGGAAGTTTTCTGGGACAGTGTTGCTCTAGAAGGTCCCTGCTCTATGCCCTTTCACCCTGGGTGAAAGAAAGTTTCATTAGAGGCAGATGTGACAATATTCTAGCATCAAGATTTGGCAATCTCAAATTCAGAATCAAGTCACAAAATCTTCTCCAGAGCATATAGAAATAGGACTGGTGGTAATCTTCAGCAGAGGATATCTTTCTGAAAGGTTTAGCTGTCTGGGCTGGATAGACTCTTATATTCAGTTCATGCAAGAGTAAGAGTGGGAATGTCTGTACAGTACTCATAACTGATCTTCAACACCCTTTTATTATATAGATAGATAGATAGATAGATAACAAAATATCTGCCATTTCAACAATTTTTACATGTATAATTCAGTGACATTGGTTATCATGTATAATTGTTGTTAGTTGCCATCGAGTTGACTTTGACTCATGGCAACCCTACGTATAACAGAACAAAACATTATCTAGTCCTGTGCCATCCTCAGTCTTTTATAGGGTTAGACCTCAGGGATACTGCAAGTTCAGTTCCAGACTACCACAATAAAGTGAATATTGCAATAAATTGAGTCATACAAATATGTTTGGTATCCTAGTGCATATAAAAGTTATGATTATGCTATACTGTAGCATTATGTGGTAGCATTATGAAAAAGTTTGAAATATTGGGAGAATCACCAAAATGTAACACAGAGAAAAGAAGTGAGCACATGTGGTTGGAAAAGTGATGCCAGTAGTCCAGTGTTGCCACAAACCTGCAATCTGTAAAAAAATACAATATCTGTGAAGCATAATAAAATGCGTATGCCTATAATTTTGAACCCACTGTTGTAAGCACTATGTCAATCCATCTCATGGAGGGCTCCGTTCATTGTGCTGACCCTCTGTTTTACCAAACATGATGTCCTTTTCTAGCAATTGTTATTTCCTGAGGGCATGTCCAAAGTAAGCAAGAAAAAGCCGTATGTCCTAAGGAACATTCTGTCTATACTTGCTTCAAAATGAATTTTTTGGTTCTTCTGATAGTTTGTGGCATAGTCAGTATTCTTCTCCAACATATTCAAATATGTCAATTCTCCTTCCATCTCCCTTTTTCCTTGTTCAGCTTTTCACATAAATATGAAGTGATTGAGAAGACTGTGGCTTTGGGTCAGGTGCATTTTAGTCATAAGTGCAACTATTACCACTGCTTCTTTCCAGATTATTGCAGAAAGGTTTTTTCACTGCATACTTGAGGAAACTGAAACTCTTGCCCTTATCTTTCATTGGCACTGCCCCTCCTAAGAAAATGTCTTTATTTTGTTTTAAAATTTCAAATATAGTCTGGATTCTAACCCTGATTGTGTATCTAACCACATGTGCATTTAATAATCTTACATGTCTTTGTGTGGTTATCTGACTGTCTCCTCCAGCTGGACTGGACCCTCCATGAGAGGTAGTGGAGGTAGTGTCTACAGCAGCCAGCACAGAACCTTATCAGTGGGTGCCTCTGGGATTCTGATGGTCTTAGTTAGGGAACCATCAGAAATAGCATCT